CTATCTATCTATCTATCTATCTATCTATCTATCTATCTATCTATCTATCTATCTATCTATCTATCTATCTATCTATCTATCTATCTATCTATCTATCTGAGACAGGGCCTCTCTACACAGCCCTGGCTGTCCTGGAACTCACTTTGTAGATCAAGCTTGTGCCTCCCAGGTGCTGGGATCAAAGGTGTGCGCCACCATGCCTGCTGAGCCACTGCCTTTTTAAAAAGTGCTTAGGAGAGAATAAGTGCAGAGAATTGGGGTAGGATGGTGGTTTCCATGGAGATAAGGGAGTCCGTGTCTGTTTTTAAAAAAAGATTCTTTTTTAAAAATGTATGTGTATGAGGTGAGGGCTGTCTTCAGAAGCCTGAAGAGAGAGGCAGGTCCCCTAGCCCTGGAGTATCAGGTGCTGGGAAGCTAGCTCAGGTCCGCTGGAAGAGCAGAAAGCACTCTTAATGGCTGACCCAGTGCCCATACCCCTGGGGGCATGGTGGGGGCACACCTGTAATCTCAGGCAAGAAGATTGGGAGTTCAAGGCCATCCTTGCCTACATAATGGCAAGAGATGAGGAAGAGAAAAGAAGAGGTGGAGGAAGAAGAGGGGCAGGAAAAATAGGCAAAGCATTTAAATGATAGCCATACACACAGTAATCAGTCGTGCTAAACCAGGTCATTTGAACGCTGAAGCAGGTTTTACCCACGACTTAAGTCAATAGGTCCCATTTTACAGACCAGTAAACTCAAGTCTGGAAATTGGACCACACTCATCCATCTCAAACACTTCAGAGCAGGGTGTCCAAGGCTTCCCCAACCCCATTCTCTTCAATCCACAGTCCACCTCGCTGTCTGCTGAGTCGGCTCCTGCTCTCGGGTAGTGCGGAGCACGGCTTGTGCCAAGTGGACCCGCTGCTCTGCCTTAGGCTGCTGTTGCTCCAGGTGCTCAAGGGTAGGGGCGTGGCCCAGCCAGTGGGCGTGGTGAGCGTGTAGAGCTTGTATAGTGTCTCCCACACCTCCCCTTAGGTGATTCTCTTGGCCACTTACTTCCTGGAGCTGACCCTGTTGGAGGCTGAGGCTGCCCGACGGGACCCAGGTCATGCAGCAGCTGTGGCTCTGAGCCTGGCTAACCACGTGCTCCATGGGGTGGGCTACAGGCCTGGCCCAGTGATTTGCAGGTGATGTCTTGGCAGATGTCTTGTGCCCTTGGAGATCCCACCTCCCTAGTTTCTGCCCTTGTCATCTCTATGAGAATAAGAGAAAATTATAGAGGCAACACTTGTTTATTTTTCTGAGTGGGTGAAAATGAGGTGTCTTGTCTGTCTAGTTTTAGCGATCCATATGGCTTTCTCTGAGGGTGTTTTTGCATTCTTGGTGATTCTCAACCTAGCTTCATGGTGCTCTTCCTTAGAATCCCCTAGTGATTTGCAGGGGGTGTGGCTCAGTGGTAGAGCCCCTGCCTAGAATCCCCCAGTGAGGGGCTGGGGTGTGGCTTTAATGGCACAAGCTGGAAGCCCCCTGCAGCCCTCTCTTTTTTCCCAGCTGTGTCCCTCTGGTGGAGGGACTGGACAGAGTAAGTGTCCATGCTCAGTTCCTCTTTACCTCCCCTTTGGGTTCTGCCCCCCTCTAGCCGCATCTTTAGAGAAGAATAAGGTGTCACGGTTTTGTAAGGTCTGTCCCCAGCCATCCCTCCAGCTTCAGGAACCTATGTCAATCTGTCTTCTTAGCTCAAACTTCTAGCTCCCTTCCCTGCCTCACTTTCTTGATTTTCTCCATGCAGCCCCCTGGAACTGGAGCCCCTGCTGGCGCCCGACGGTGCGGCTGTCTTTCTCGAGCACGTTCGGCCCCAGCGCCAAGGCACTAGCCTGGTCACCAATCGCTTGTTCTGCAGCCCTCAGCCCGCACCTCCCAGAACCCAGCCCTACAAAAACAAAAACCCCAAAGTGCCTTGTTCGTTTTTTTTATTCAATAAAAGGAGTTTATTTAGAGAGCTCTCCATCCACGTTGGTCGAATTTCAGCCCCGCACTCGATTCTGATTGGTTGTATCCTGAGACCTCTTGTCCTCTGATTGGACAATCTCAGCAAATCTTTTACGGAAAGGAAGAGGCAAGTTCTAAACTCTTCCGCTAGGGGGCGCTAGCTGGCTTCCCCAGGGCTGCTCTTGAAAAAAACTGGTATCCTTTCAGAGGTGGGAAGACACTGCCAAGGATGGGAAAGGTGGGTAAACTGGGCTTGCCCTGTTTCTAAGAACACTGTCTCGGACTGGTTGCTGACTTTACAGACTTTGTTCAACTGACTGAAAATCTAGGATTCCAGGAACACCTCAATATGCTGTCAACTAATACACATGTATGTACACATATACCATATATTTATGCATCTTCTATATGTGATATAGGGTCTTGCTAAGTAGCGCAGGCTGCCCACAGATTCCCAGTTCTTTTGCCTTAGACCCCCAGGTACTGGGATTACAAGCATGTATCATCTTGGTTCATTCAATATGGTGGGGGTTTTGTTTTTGTTTTGAGACAGGGTTTCTCTGTGTAGCCCTTGCTGTCCTGGAACTCACTCTGTAGACCAGGCTGGCCTAGAACTCAGAGATCTGCCTGCCTCTGCCTCCCAAGTGCTGGGATTAAAGGTGTGCACCACCATGCCCAGCTTAATTCAGTATGTTTAAAAAGATTTATTTGTATGTGTCTGAGTGAGTTTGTGTGCACCATGTAAGTACAGGTGCTCTTGGAGGCCGGAAGAGGGCACTGGATCCCCTGGAACTGAAGTTACATGTGACTGTGAGCCACTGTGTGGGGGCTGGGAACAACCCGAGTTCTCTGCAAACGCAGAGCCTGGAGCCTTCTCTTGAGCCCCTAATTCGATTTTTTCTCCCCAAGATGGGGTTTCTCTGTATAGCCCTAGCTGTCCTGGAACTCGCTCTGTAGACCAGGCTGGCCTTGAACTCAGAAATCCACCTGCCTTTGTCTCTTGAGTGCCCCAGTTTGATATTTTTGATTGTAGAAACCCAACACACCACATATGCAGGCCATCAGTTTGTGAAAGTCTTTCCTATTTGAGGGCTGGGATGTGGCTAGTTGGGAGAGTGTTGGTCGGCCACACACGAAGCCTTGGATTCAGTCTCCAACACTGCACAAACTCCAGACATGGGGATATGTATCTGTAATGCCAACACTGGAAAAGTAGAGACAGAAGGATCTGAAGTACAAGGTCACCCTCAGCAAATAGTGGGCTTGTTTTTTGGTTTTTGGTTTTATTTGGGGTGGTGGGGTTGGGGGTGGTGGCTGCATATACATATCCTGGAGAAGAAATCCATATAATAATCTAATGAAAGGACTTTAAATTGACTTGTGTGTGTGTGCACATACACGTACTACAACGTGTAGGGAGAAGTCAGGTGACCACTTTCAGGAGTTGGTTCCAGGGATAGAACTCAAGTGGTCTTGGGTTTTGTGGTTAGTGCTTTCATGCTCTGAGCTTTGTTGCTGGCCTCTAACTAAAGGATTGCTTTCCTTTCTTCTTTCTTTTTTTCAGTCAGGGCCTCACTGTGAGCTCTGGCTGGCCTGGAACCCATTCTGTAGACCAGGCTGGCCCGGAAATCACAGAGTTCTGCCTGCCTCTGCCTCCCGAGTGCTGGGGATACAGGCATGCTCTGCCCCTGCCACCCAGCCGCGTTCCCTTGGCTGTCCTGATCGTGCTGGTGGTTCTGGGCTGTCAGCGGGGACCTGTCACCTTCTCGCTGGCTTTTCTGGACGTGAATGAAGGCAAGGGGCAGATTGCTCTGGTTGCAGAGTTGCCCGTCCTCCAGGAAGTCCCCAGTACCACTTCACCCCAGGGCAGAAGTCTTCTCTGGGCGTCTCCATCTTAGCCATGACCCTTCTCCTGAGCTTCCCAGGATCACTCACTCTGGGCTGTCACTGGTCTGTCTCTCCACTAAACTGCGGACCTAGGAGATGGGGACAGAAACTAAATAACTCTTCTTCCTCCTCCTCCCTCTTCTTCCCTTCTCTTTACCACTTCCACCCTTTTCTTTGTAGCCCATGCCTGGTCTGGAATTCTCTCTGTAGGTCAGGTTAACCTCAAACTTTCCATCCTCCTGCTTCAGATGTCCGAGTGTGATATAGGCAGGTGCCACCCCGCTCAGCTTCTGTTTTATCATGGCCCCGCAGCCCCCAGAACAGAAACCGAGCAATGGCTGTTTGTTTGTTACATAAGTAAAGACTCGATTCCAAGGTGTGCACTATTATTCCGCACTACAGAACTACAGGTAATTTGAGAGGACTGTCCAAATCGTACAGTAGTGAAAAACCAATAGGGATTTGAATCCGGGCAGCTTGACTCCCTATCCTGTGTTCTTAGCCAACACGCCAAATGACTGGTGGGCTGAAAACCAGCTTTCCACGAAACCGATGTCTGCCTGCTCAGCCTTTTCTTCTAGAAATCTCGGGGAGAGCATGCAGTCGGGTGGGGAGGGTTAGGACTGTGGGGACAAGGGAGAGGTGCCAGAACAACCCGACCCCGGGCTGATTTGAGGATGAGAGAGGGGGAGTCTGGAGGGGCTTCTCTAGACCCATAGGGGGCAGCCGGAGATGGCAGCCAGAGATGCGGGGGCGGAGAAAGGGTGGGGACCGGCCCCGCGGGGGGCGATGCGGTAGCTGCAGCGGCGGCCGAAGGAGTTTCCCACAATGCAGCGCGGCGCGCTGTCCCCGGTGCTGATGCTCAGCGCTGCCCCGGAGCCTCCACCTCGCCCGCCTCCCGCCCTCTCTCCCCCGGGCCCGGGCTCAGCGCCTCGCCATGGCTCAGCTCGGCCGGGTCCTGCCCCAGAGCCGTCTGGGGGCCTGGCCGCGGCGCTCGACAGCAGCCTGCGGGCCGCCGTGGCGTTCAAGGCGGAGGGTCAGCGTTGCTACCGAGAGAAGAAGTTCCGAGAAGCCATCGGCAAGTACCACCGGGCACTGCTGCAGCTGAAGGCAGCTCAGGGGGCCCGCCCTGGCGGCCTGCCCGCCCCCTCCCCCGGACCCGCCGCCAGCCCGGGGCCAGCCCGTCTCAGCGAGGAGCAGCGGCGCCTGGTGGAGAACACAGAGGTTGAATGTTACGACTCCCTCACCGGTACGGGGCCGTCGGGGGAGCGAAGGGGGACACAGAGGACACGGGTGAGAGACGGGTGGGTGGTAAGGGGCAATCAGGAGGCCTTAGGGCCTGAGGGTGGTGGCTGGAGGCTGAAGGAATCAGGGCTGTGGTCTGACGGGGGAGACTTCAGAACTTAATGAGAACAAGAGTTGGGAGTAGATGAACAGGGCTTCTGGGATGGAGGAAGCAAGCGCTTTAGCCTTGGTCTTCAGAGCCCCACTCTCCTGACTTATTCTCCCTAAGGTTAGAAAGGCTTACTCTGCACGGCTATTTGGTTCTTGGTCCCTCATTTCTGCAATTGTTTGGGAAACCTCCAGCTAATTGCTTTAGACTTGTCTGCCCTGCGCCCTCTAGCGGCGGCGCAGATCGAGTCTATGCTAGCGAGCTCTCAGATTGGCGTCCCCTGGTGGCCGGAGCAATCAGCCCAGGGGAAGCGGCCGGGTTACTTGGGGTCACATAAGTCTGGGGGTTCAGGCAGTGTCTGAGAGTACAGGGTCTCCGCACCCCCGCAGCTTGCCTCCTGCAGTCGGAGCTGGTGAACTATGAGCGTGTGCGCGAGTACTGTCTCAAGGTGCTGGAGAAACAGCAGGGCAACTTCAAGGCCACCTATCGCGCCGGCATTGCCTTCTACCACCTGGGTGACTACGCGCGTGCGCTGCGCTACCTGCAGGAGGCCCGAAGCCGGGAGCCCACAGGTGAGTGGCAGGGGGCGGGGCGGGGCGGGGCGGGGCTGGGCTGGGCGGGGCTGGGCAAGGGGTTAGAGCAGAGGAAACCCGAGGCAGGAGGAGCAGGGCACAGAACCGCCCCAGGGAAGTGCTGTGGTCAGCTCTGGACAGCCTCTCTCCAGTCACCCAAGACTCTTCACACACCATCCGTCATCCATCACCTTCACCAAAGGTCTCCTCACGCTGGTCCTCTGACATTTACCCAGCCAGTTCTAACGTTTGCAGTACTGGGAACTGAGCCCAGGGCCTCCTGAGCGCCAGGCAAAGGCTCCACCGACTAGCTACACCCCCATCTCAGCGTCTGCTCACCTATGACTGCCTTGGCTACTTCTGGCCCACACTCGTCTTCCTTCACTCCCTCCCGGTCAGTCAGCTGCTCCTCCGCCACCTCCTGCCCTCCACTCTTGCTCAGACCTCTTGTTCTCCGCCCTTGAGGAGATCACTCAGGGTACCCATGTGTAGACATGACACGCGTCGAGGAGGAGGAGGAGGAGGAGGGGGAGGAGGAGGGGGAGGAGGAGGGAGGGAACACAGCAGGTGCTGAATGCAGGGCTGTGGGATCAAAGAGGCAAGATTAGCTTTCCCGGAAGTGGTTTGGTGAGAACAGTTGTCACTGGGGGTGCGTGGAGGTGTGACAGGAGCCTCTCCTGGTAGGGTGCTGCACGCGTGAGGCAGCAAGTGTGAAGTGTCTCTGAGTGGCTGGATACAGCTGAGGTGCTGAGGGTGGAGCACTGACTGTGAGCGAGGTCAGGAGGCCATTGCCCCGTCCCAGGACACCCAGGTCACATTCCGGTACCTCCCCTGCAGACACCAACGTTCTCCGCTACATCCAGCTGACCCAGCTGAAGATGAACCGCTGCAGCCTCCCGCGGCAAGACAGCGACAGTGGGGCTGGAGGCCCAGCTCGCAGCGATGTCATGGGCTGAGGTCAAAGGGCAGCCTCTGCCTTGTTCCCTCCGACCTCAGCAGGCGACTCCCCCTGGCTCATGTGTTTACTTACTGGTAAAGCGCCCTCACTGGTGTCTCCTTGTGTGGTGTTATTGTGGGAACGAGGCAGGGGCCCCATGCCGGCTCTTTCTCAGAAACCCAGAGGTCTGGGGAGGAATCGTGGGGTGTAGGGTGTCCCACTGTGGCCCAGGCTGGGGAAGCACACACAGCCAAGCTTGGTAGGGGGCAGGGGTTACCTTTAATGTTGCCTTTTGTGCCAAATCCCCCACAATGTCCTGTCCCTGAGTATCCCTGCCCACCCTCTCCCTCAGCAGGTTGGGCTCAGAGCTCCACCCCCTGGGGTACAAAGGAATAAATTAAGTGTCCTCCCCTCCCCCCTTCCCCAATAAATAGAGTGAGTATCCTGCCCAGGGCCTCCCCCACCTTGGGGCATGGTGGGCTGTGGCGGGGCCTGGGGCGCTACATTCATGGCTGCCCAGGCGGGTGGTGGCGGGCAGGTCTCAGTGAGAGCCATAGGTCCCACACAGGGGCACTGTGTTGTCCTGGCTCTGGCCCTCCATGTCCATGTCCAGCAGTGTGGGCTGCACACTGGGGGGGCCAGGGCTCTCTGGAGTGTCTGGCCTGCTGGGAGGCGAGATGCTGAGTGTCCGGCCAAAGGAGACCAGTTTCCAGGGGTCCAGACGGGGGCGGCTGGCAGCTGGCCGGGGTCTTGGGGCAAAGGTGAGGGTGGTGGGACGGCCAGGGAACTCCAGGGGCCTGCGACGGGTGGGGAACAAGGCCTGAGGGTCGGGCAGTCGAGGGAAATCAAGGGGGTCTCGAGGACCTAGGGAAAGAGGATCACATGGATGAGGGGTTGGGTAAAGGCCATTTCTAAGCCGACACCCGACCTCGGAAGATCTCGCCGTGCCTGTTTCCTAGTAAGGCCATAGCCGTTAGGAGCCCTGCACTTGGACCTTGAATAGGTCCTCACAGCCTCCAACGGCTCATTCATCTGGAAGATGGTCTTCTTGGGCTTTTGCAACAGGCTAGCCTGGAACTCTATGTAGCAGAGAATGACCTTAAACTCCTCCTGAATTTTCTGCCTCCGCCCCCAGTGCTGGGGTTTCAGGTGTGTGCAAACACCCAGCTTTCTGTGGTGCTGGGAACCAAACCCCGCATGTTAGGCAATCACTCTACCAAAGGAGCTACATCCCCAGCTCAGTTTTCCCCGCTTTGGGACAGGGTCTCATGTAGCCAAGGCTAGTCTCAAACCTAGTATGTAGACCAGGATGACCTGAGTGCTGGCTTCACCGGTGTGTGCCACCAGCTCGTGCCTTCATCTCTGATCAAAACCTTGCCGGGCAGAGAGATTCAAATCTGACCACAGTAGCTGTACAGCAGAGCCCGGCACTGGCAGGGCACAGTGATTCCTGACCTTGCCGTCGTCATATTGGTAGAGACAAGTGGACAGAGGATAGTGCTGACAGCTACCTATGCTTCCAGTCGCCATCAAGTCACCTACTCGGCCCTTGTAGGCATTATACTGTCCCCTCCAATTTACCTTCGCAGGCATCTCAAGCCCCACAACGCCCCCAGCAATGAGGGCGGAGGACGCAGACGCTCCTTCCCCATGCTCCAAAGGAGACACAGGCAGTGGCCTGTGAAGGGTGGCTCGTACAGTCCTCACTCACCGTGCCGAGTGAGCTCCAGGGGCTCTCGCTGCCTCAGCGCCCCGTCCGATGGTGTCCGCCTGTGTCCCCGGCTCACAGCGTGCGCGGCCGTGACGTGGGTGGGCGTGAGCGATTGGCGGGGGTCCTTCTTGAAGCTCTCCAGCTCCACGTCCACAAGGGGGTTAGTGCTGGGTGAGGACGCGGGGGGAGAGGGCGGCGGGGAGGGCACGGCGGGCGCAGCCTCGTCGCTGTCGGAGCGCAACAAGGAGCGCGTAGAGTTGCAATCGGACACAGAAGACAGTGACACCAGGGTGGCCGAGGGCGCCAGGCCCAGGCCGGGGGCTGTGTCCTCGTGGCGACTCCCGGGGCGCCCGGTCGGGCTTAGACCCCGAGGGAAGCGGCCAGGACGCGGGAAGAAGAGGCCGTCCAGCCAGCGCCGCTGCTCCTCACCGTCCCCAGCACGCGCCTCGGCCACATTGGCGCCCAGGCCCACGGCGCCCAGGAGCGTGGCGCAGCCCAGCAGCGCCAGGTCGCAGCGCCTACGAGCTCCGTGTCCTGGCCGGGAGGGGGTCGCAGCCGGCGGCTCCCAGGGCGCCTGCGCGCAAGGAGAGGGCTCGGCGGGTAGAGGCACCTTGAGGTAGGACGGGGTGGAGTAGGGGGAAGGGGGCACGCTGTTGCCTTCATCTGCCTCCGCAAACTCTTCTGCAACCGGAGAGGTCCATCACTCGGCTGACCCCGCCTTTCCTCACCTTCCCCCAGAACTGGTGCCAAGGACTTCCCCAATGACCTCCGAAAACAGACCCCCACTCCCCAGATGCCACTAAGTGGCATCTTCAAATCTCTCTCCCCAAAGCCTTGCTTCTGAAAACGAGCGCCACCCCCAGCAGGGAAGTTGCTGCTGCTCTTCGGGGCATGTCTTACCTAGGCCTGGGTGATGTCCCGCCACTCCCCCGAGCACCCACACTCTCTTACCCATCTCATTGAGGCTCGCAAAGCCTGGGGCCATGGGGGTGTGCTTGGGGGATTTGCCCAGGTTTGGGGCGCTTGAGGACCACTGCTTGCTTCCTTCCCCCAGGGCCTTGAGCCTGCAGAGGGCACAGGGAGATGGGGTCAGGGCACAGGTCCGGCAGCCACAGGGGCAGGCGGGCTGCTGGACATCCATACCTCTCCTCTCCTCCAGCCCGCTCCTTCTGCAAAGTGGAACTGGGGCCCCATGTCCTGCCCTTCTTCTTGCCCCCAACCAGTTCTTCTTTCTTTGGCGGCCCACTTCGGCTCCATGTTCCACTGCCACTGCTGCCGCCACAGTCCATGGGGGTCACTGGGTGGAGACAAGCGATACATGAGCCTCGGAGAGGCCCCTGGCAGCCCAGGGGACCTTTCTGACAGCCCCCCCCCCCCTGCTGTAAGGCCTTCCCCAATGCTCCACTGCTGTCAGGGCCCCAACCCAACCAGGCAACTGGATCCTCTCAGTGCTTCCCCCCACTCCTGAACCCCTGTCCTCACTCCTACCCAGGCCTCCACTTCATTCTGGTTAGCACGGCCCTGAGCTCTACAGACTGTGGTTCTCTTCCTCCATGCTCCTGAATTCACCTGGTTCTCCTAGCTCCTATCGTGTGGCTCTCTGATGGAAAGAGGCCTGATTCCCACCACGTCGTCCCCTGATCTTCACATCCATGCCATGCACAAGTGCACCCACCCACTTGCATACACATAAAGAAGTAACTGTAATAAAAACAACAACTTATAGACTATGCTGGAAGACAAGGTGAGACTGTCTTACAACAAAAAAAAAAAGGCTGAGGATGAAGCGCAGTTTGTAGAGTGTTTGCCTCTTACACATGAAGCCCTGGGGTTGCCCTCCAGCACCACATAAACTGGGCATGGTGGCACGTGCCTATAATTCAGAACCAGGGAGGTGAAGGAGGGAGGACCAGGAGTTCAAGAGTTCAAGGTCATCCTTAGCTATACAGTAAGTTCCAGGCCAGCCTGGGCTACATGAGACCCTGAGGCAGGCAACCGAAGGGACAAGTTTAGCAGTTTGGGATCACATCTGATTGGGTTCTGCACACCCCCTCGTACTGATGCACCCGCAGCCCTGCTCCTTCACCTGCATGTATTATGCACCCCCCCCAAACAATGCACCTAGCAACCCAGACCCCCAGACCCCCAACCTATGCCAGGCTACATGTACTTCCCATCTTTAAATGGCGTAGACTTCTCCACCCCTGGCAACAATCAAATCTGGATGGTTCCCATTCAAGTGTGCCCCCAAGTATCTGGGTACATGAAGAACAGAACGGCTGATCCAGCATGAACTGGCTTTAGGTAATATTTATCCTCAAGTCAACTTTGAAGGTAAGTCCCCCATTTCCCATCTTATGCCTATGCATAACTGGACATAGGCATAACTATACACCCACAAATTCATACACCCACAAATTCATACACACACACAGCACCAAGGGCAAAGCTCATTTGTGGAATACATGCTTTATACACATGAGGCCTTGGGCACTGCCAAATATTAAAAAAAAAATCAGGGCTGGAGAGACAGCTCAGGGGTTAGGAACACTTGCTGCCCTCTCAGAGGACCCGGGTTTGGGTGTCAGCACCCACAAGACAGCTTAAGGCCATCTGTAACTCCAGTTCCAGGGGGAAATCTCACTCCCTCTTCTGGCTTCTGCAGGAACTGCATGCACGTGGCAAAACACCCATCCACAAGAAAAAAAAATAATAAAAACATCTTTTTTAAAATAATAAAATGTAAAAAACCAGGTTCTTTGTGTCTCCAGGGCTGTATGTTCTGGCCCTGCACCCCCTTTCCATAGACTATTTCTCCCCTTACTTGCTCTACCAAGCTGGCCTCTAGACTGGATCCACGCCACTCTCGTCCCTAGCCTGGTCTTTGCTGTCCCTCCTGCCAGGGGCACCGTCCCCCCACCCCCCGGGGAGGGGGGATACTCATTCTTAACCACTACAGGCCCTGTCAGACCTCACCTCAGGCCCCCAGATGTGTGGCCTCAGCCTCTCTGTGACACCCACTTTCCTGGCCTGAGGATGCCCAGAATGCTGCTAAACTTCTGTTTCTAGGTGTGCAAGAGTGGTTCTGGGAGAGATGAGCATGAAAGGACAGGGCAGAGGATCCACCTTCTTCCATGACGGGGCGGGGGGGGGGGGGACGCTACTCCAGGCCCAAACACAACAAAGAGGCGGAGGGGTCCTGCTTGGGGACTTGAGTCCTCTTGACTTTGGACACGGGTGTGATGTAGAGCTGCACTTCCTGTGCCTTCAGCTTGCAGAACGGTCGTCTACCCCAGGGTCTATAACTCTGGCCAAACCCTCTAGAATATATGGTCATAAAGTCTACTGATGTGATCTCTATGGGGAACCCTGATACACTCCCCACCTCTCTATTTTTGGTGCTG